CGTGTCTCTCTGCCTGTGTGTGTGGTGAAGGTTAGCGGCAGCCAGTAGAGGGTGGAGCGGCGTGAAGTGTCATTTTATTGGGAGGTTTCTGCAAAAAGCATCAGGATGTTGGAGCCTGGGGTTTCACCTGGGACTGAAGGGGACATCTGTTCGATGGCTTGGCCGTGTCTACCTGTTTACCACACGGATCTGCTCTGTCTGAGTGTGTGTGCGTGTGTGTGTTTGTCCCTGTCTGTGTGTGTGTGTGTGCAGTTGCATGTTGGTAGAAATCCTCTCACCTTTCAGCAGGCGTGCTGCCAAAAAACCTTGCAGCTGTCTGTTCACTTGCTGTGCCGGCCTGTGTTCCAGCTCCTCCTCCTCCTCCTCTTCCTCTTCCTTCACCTCCTCTTCGATTTTTTTTTCTTCCTTCTTCTTCTTCTTCTTCTTACACCTTCCCGTCTCCGTCCTCCTCATCACCTCCTCGTCTTTCACCTGTTTCACACCGGCTCACTGGGGCTGAGCCAGGCCTGGTGTGCAGTGGATGAGGAAGCGTTGGCTCTTCTTCTTCTTCTTCCTGCTGCTGTAAGATGTAGTTACAGCGACTGAAGTGGAAGATAATGTCTGACCTGCAGTAAATGGTTATTGGGGGGAAAAATGTGAAAATCTTAATTGGCGAGGAGATGGCGATTTAACTGTAATAAATCGAACCTTTTAAAATAGTTTGTGAGGAAAGTAAACATTTGGCTTCAGTGGTGAATGTGGGTAGTGACAAATAAGAAAAGGAAATGGAAAAAAAATAGTATATTTCTAAAAGTAAATGAGCAAATGTAGAGATGTTCGAGGTCAAAGTGCAGTCGTTCAGATCGTCTCCCTCTCAGGAAAAGAAGCTACTATTAAGAAAATTACTGCAAGTTGAAGTATCTGTGTACCTTAAATACTCACTCAGGAGTATTTTCACATCCAGTGTCTTTATTTTTTTTCATCAGTTTTCACATTTCAACACCTTGCTGTGTTTTGGGATCAGTAGTTGATTCGACATACATCAAGTACCAGACACTGCTAGAAATGTTTTGCCTCATAAAACACAACAATGCGCCCCCCCCCCCCCAGCACCTCCACTGTAGCAGAAGATGACTCCTCTCAGCAGACCCCCCCCCGTCCTCCCTTCTTCCCCCTTTATTCTCACGGCTCAGGTTTGGAAGGCGGCCCAGACTGATTGGACTCTAAGCCTGTGACTCACCCAGAGGTTCTGTTTGGGACTAGGTGAAAAACCCTCACTTAATGCCCTGGTATTTCATATGAAACCAGTTCAACTCACATGGTACTTGTAAGGATTTTGTTTAAGCCGAAATACTTGGCTCAAATCTTTCTCAACCAAAGTTTTATTTTTTTTACCAGTAGGAGAATTTAAGGGATTCCTTAGACGACTCGGTCGATCCTAAGACTTCATATTAAGATATTTTATTTCAGGTTTTGTTTTTGACTATTTGAATCAATGCACAGCGTCGGCCTGATGGCGAAAATACACACAATGAAATGTTGACGGAGACGGAGAAACGATATCTCCAAACTCCTCCAGTCGTTGTCACATCGTGGAGTTTCCCCTCATTAAAACTTCTACCTATTTCACTGATTGCCTTAAGGTTTTGTAGGCGACATATTGACACGTGTACAGTAGGTGTAAGTGATACACTGATATATGAGCTGGAATACACGGGAATTTAATGTTAAACACAGAGGCCTGAAGAAATGCTGAGAAACCATTGTTCATAAATGGGCTGAGATGATAGTTTTTTTTGTGGAAAATAACTGTATTTATATATGTATATATATATATATATATATATGGTGATAACATATACATGTAACAAAGGGGATATCAGATGGTTTTTGACTGTCTGACTACCAACAGATACATCCACTTAAACATCCGTATCAAACTCCCAGATGTCGTTGGATACCAGTAGGAACGACCGCTTGATTTAAAACAAAGTGGGCGGGGCCACGGTGGAAATCCATCAGGCTCTAATCGCTGCCTGTTTATGACTGCGTGGTGTAGAATCACCGGTGGTACCTGGACGCCTCTTCCCTCCGACTGATGCATGCGTTCTGTCAGCTGTCTGATTGCATCGCCTCAGCTAGCTAACGTGTGGATTTGGTTTTCCAAAGGAGCTGCTCCTACCAGCAGTGGCTGACCTCCGGAGCACACTGACCTCCACATGGGAAAGAGAAAGGCGTTGAGAGCAGAGGGAGGGAGAGAAGGAGGGAGGGTGGGTGGACCTGCCGGCCCTCCCTCTGTTGGTTTTGTTCTCCTTCTCCCTCAGTAACGTGCTCCACAGGCTGCCTGTTTGGAAATGGCATCACTGGAACCCCTCCTCAGTCTCCTCCGCCCCTCCCCCCTCACTTTTCCTTCATCTCTGGGGTCCCGGGGGCTTTGTGAGCGTCTGTTCATGCCAAATGCCAGCACTCTACACCCCCTCTCTCACCCCCCCACCTCCTCCCCTACTCAACTCCTCTGTATTTATGAGAGAAAGACAGAGAGAGAGAGGGAGAGAGAGTTGTTGGGGGGGGGGGTTTCTTTGGTTCCCCATCTTCATCCTGGCTTGGGGGGTTGCCTCTGTGTTGGTGCGTCGTCCTTAGTTGTTCCGTTGGCCTCTGTGTGTGTGTGTGTGTGTGTGGGAGAATGAGCCTGCCATTGTTCGGCGTGACTGCTGGAATGCTTTAGAACAGTGGACTGGTGTCAGTCCAGATGCCCAGTAGTATTGTCTGTCTTTGTCCGGTTTGATTGTGAACAGTTCATATCTGGCTGTCATGTCTGTCACCGTCTGCTCGGGACATCGCTCTGTTCAAACTCTCACTGGTGCGAGGACACTGTCTGCATACAAACAGCCAGGGCGCAGAGTGTTGCGTGATCTGCCTCATCGTTTGGTCTCCTCACTTCACGTCTGCAGCGCCGTCTTCCGTCGTTGTCATTGTTGTGGTTCCGCCTGTGATTGTGGTCGGATTAACAGGTTTAGTGTTCGTTAATCATGATTAATGTATGAGGGGGGGTGTTAAACATACGGCCCGTGGGCCAAAGCCGAAATAAACTTGAAATAAAAGTTGAACTTTTTCAGACACTTATACGTGGAATACAGGGGTGTCACACTCATTTCACCAGTGGGGGGAGCAATACATGTCCCAGTTGTATATGGAACACTGTGTAGATGGAACTAATGTTTGCAAATTATTATTATTTATTCAACTTACAAATGATGTTCATTGCTGAGTAACATTACAAATTAATTACAATACAAAAAAACTCATGCGTAACATTACAAATTAATTACAATACAAGAAACTCATGCTGCATGGACTTTATTAAATGCTTTTTAAGGTCCATTTAAAATGACTTGGTGGGCAGCATTTGGTCCCCGGGCCTTGGGTTTGACACATGTGGTCTAAATGAATGCATGTTGGTTATAGGTGGTAATTTGGACATAACACGACATTGGTGTGAACCTGAGTGTGAATGTTTGTCTTCCATGACTTCATCTCATTAGCACCGCTGCACAGTGGTCCTCACAACAGAGCGACGTGACTGGGTCTCATTTTCTCCCCCTTTAGCCTCCCCTCTCTCTCTCTCTCTCTCTCTCTCGGGTTTGTTTCTAACTCTGCTGTTGGTCAGGTTCAACTGTGAACAAACAACAGTGTGAAATTCAACAGAATGTTGAACATTAAGAGCAGTCACACTGGCCATTAGTGTTGAAGAGTTTGTTTGAGGTGTGAAGAGCTGCCTCGATTTGTTTTTTTTCTTTATTTCCCCTACAATGCCGTACCTTCTTCACTCTTTTCTAAAGATATTTTGAAAGGTCATACCACTCAGCTTCCCTTTCCATCTCTGGATAGATTTATTTTCCACACTAACAACCAAGGACTCTTGTTACAGGATAAAACATCATCAGTTCAGTGCAGGGTTATTCATTTTAGTCTAGTCTTTATTGAGTGTGTCTTACCTTTTGGAGTTTCCTGCGCTGTGCTCAAATATTAGACATTTAAAATGCAGTGAATTTAAGTCGCTCTCAAATTACACACAGAAACTGAACTGAAAAGTTGATCTGTTTGTTAATGGTACGTCATCGATACAGAGATTTAATCTCGTCTTTTTTTTTGTTCATCTCAATACATGAACCGTTAATATCGGTC